CTATGCATGAAGGGTTCCACAGGCTAGCCATCACGGCATCTTGGCCCAACTATCCCCCTTCAAACAACTTCTCGAAGAGCAGCCACCCGTCTTTCCAGCGTCAAGGCTCCGAGCTCCTGAGCAGGGCAAACCACGCTTTCGTCGGAATATGAGCCCTTTGGAAAACCGTGATCTTCTCCAGGACCGAGGGGAAAGTAGCAGCAATGTTAAAAACAAGGTCACGTTGGCTTTTGGACAAATGTATAAGCAGCTGCATACTTGAAATCTCTTGTATATATATTTCCATCACCCGTTGGTTCAGCCATCTGCCCCGACGTCTGACTAGTTCAGAATCTTCACAAGTGTGCATCATCCATGTGGCTCCACCAGGTCTTAGCGACCCTAAGTCCAATGTCTTGGGACATCGAATGGACGCTGCATCCAAATGAAGCACTTTAAGTATATCAGAAAACCTATGTCTGAGCGTCTGGTCTGAAAAAGGCCACAATCTCTGGTGGCCTTCCAACTGTTGAAATGCTATCTCAACAAGAGATAAAAGGTCCGGGATGTCCAATTTCGCCGATTGATGTCTTGCCGACACAAAACGTGTCTTAGGCTCCCTCAAAGCCAGCAAAGCATAACGGTTGGAGAAAAAGGTGTCACTGGGCAGAAGGAGATCACTGCGAAGAGCATGGGTCATTTCACTCGTTCGCAAAAGTGCGCCCCAACCCAGGGCTAACAATCCGGCTACGTTCAACCATCCCCACGAAAGCGCTATAGACAGCATGGCCAAAAGTATTTGGAAAGGCATTGCTATATGGTGAACAGGTCTTTCTTCACGAACCCAACTAAAAGCCATATCCCAGGAAGCTTGTAACTGACGTCTCCAAATAGGTTTAAAGCTAGCAACACTGTTGATGGTTTCGACATAATGCGAGTACGTCTTTCCGGCCTCATAGAGTCTTCTGCCATATGCCAACAGAATCTCGTTAATCTTCTCGACAAAGAGGGCAGGTTCATCCAGAATGGGCTTCATCACAAAGCCAGCAAATTCACACCATTCCAAGAAACTCTGTAGGAGCCGCTCGCGGTTCTTGCTAGTCACGTCTGTCACGGGCCTCCCTTTCGGCAGTGGTGGCCTGTTCAGCCGAAGCTGGGCCCTCTTCCAGTCACCAGGTGTCCTCGGACCTAACATTCCATGGCTCTCCATCGCCCCAACTACCCTAAGTCCGCTGAGCAAGAAGGAAGGGGAGGAGCAAGAAAGGAAAAGCCAAAGGTGGAAGAAAGGGAGGAAGGACGGGCCTCTGGTAGGGCCCTCACCTGGAAATCCAAGACTGGAGTCGAAATCAATCGAGCACGAGGCACTGTTCAAGCGATGCCGAAGACCGTAAGGCAAGCTGCCCTTTGATGACCAAAAGATTGCATGGCGCCGCCGATCTGAAGAGCAGGAGGCAAGCAGAGCAAATCCACAAAGCCCAAGAGAAAATCTGACCCAGTTCGAAGCCCATCGCCTCAACGGCGGAAGACTCAGAAGTGCTCGCACCTGCGCATCTGTTGCTTCCGAGAGCGGGATCTTCGATGAAGGTGTTCTGACTTTTCTCCCCCTCGTAGGATCGTCCGAAGTATTAAACCTCGTAGGGACGAAGGGCAACGTGAAGTAAAGGTCCCCTGCCAGACAAACAGCATTGTACTTCAGGAGCAAGGTAGACAAAGCCTCAGAGGAAGATCTACCTTTTGCCGCAGCACATCGGATGACATTCGAATCAACAAGGTTCACAACCCTCAACGACGTAGGTGCTCTGGCCTTCTTCTCAGCAAGCCGTAGGAGAGAGGACATCTCAAGCAGATTTATATGCCTTCTGTTTGCGAAAGCCCAGGCATCCTCCTCCTTCCACTGCAGAGTAGTGGCACACAGGTTTGTAAACTGATTCTCAAGGCCCCGGACGTGGATGGAGTTGAAGTGCTCATCCAACTGGGCCTCACGTGCAAGGATGGCTTCCCGAAAGCAGCAGGCAATCTCCATTGCTAACTCTTCAGTGTAAGATGCAGAGGCCTTTGTGTACTTGCCCTCAACAATCACATGGCTGTGGTCGCGAGAGCATCGCCTTGCCAATCTTGTAGTATCCATATGGACGGCCATCATTCTGAAACTTTTCAAGTGTGGAGATCCAAAAGCGCAGGAATCGCACCTCCTCACACTAACATCTTCTTTTGCCTCTAAAGCTATCCAAGGGGCAAGATAGCGCATCATGCCCATCCAAGGCTGCTCCAGAAGTCCTGGTAGTAGAAGACGGTGACAGAGGGATAAGATAGCTATTGCTCGCAGCGCCAAAATGTTTCCAACTCTTGTCTGCATGCAAACAGGGTCAAAACCATAGGGCACTTCTCTCGACCTCAGAGGTGGCCTCCTCATCAAGGAAAAAGAGGTGCAGACTGGTTCAACCATCACACTCTTGAGCTGGTAGTTCACCAACATGTGGGTGATCCAGGCGAAGACTCTGGTAAGGCACAGATCAAGCTCCCCGCTGAAAGAGATGTCAATCGGAGGCCCCACCACTAAGCCAAGCTGCTGAGCTGCTTTTGACACTCGTGCCGACCCCGCATAGACCTCGATGAAGTCAAACTCAAAAGCTCTCGGCCTTTCAGGAGATACGTGTGCACTTATAGCAAGCTGGTGCTCATCCTCCTCCTCTAAGCCTTCTTCAGAAATGCCAAGCCTCAACAGCACCATCTCCAAGGGAGTCTTCAGCCGACTGTAGGCACCTTTTGATTTACAAGCCCTCCAAAAATGTCCGACAAACTCTTCAGGCAGGGGTGCAGATGTGATAGCACCATGAGTATCGGAAGCGTCAGTGGAGAAGATTGTATCCTCAAAAACGGCTGCAAGGTTGGAGACAGCCAAAGGAGCCAGAACCGCAGCAATTGTCAACTCATTTGCTACCTGTCGTGATAGCGGCACAAGCCTAGGATGGGCTGCGTCAACATCAGCAGCCTCAACAACTCTATGGACAGCTGAAAAGATCCCCATCAGAGGCCTCCTGTAGAGCATTACCGAAGTCCAAGCCCCAACAATGCAAAGATGAAGGGCATCAGAAGTATGCGAGAGCTGTGCCAGTTGCAGAGTAGTGGAACTCAAACTGAGCCTCTTTGCAATAGGAGCTCCACAAGTTGCAACGCCTTGAGCAGCTGCACAAGGACCTGAGTTCAGCTCTGCCCCGATGACCTTACTTCTGACCTCGCCACAGACATCCTTGTGGGGAGAACCCAGGATCTTGTTCTTCTGGTATACCTCTTGGCTTTTTGCAAAACATGAAGCTGCTCGACTTGCATCTGGAGGAGTCTTTCTACTCTCAACCGACAGTGCAAAATAATCATCAATGACCAACCCCTCAAGCAACTGACCTCCTGAAAAAGGGCGGTGAGCTGTAAGGCGCGAATCCTCGTCCAAAAGGCCAGCCGACTTCAAGAGGTTTTCATGGGCTTGTGTAGCAAACTCAACTCCGCCATGGTCTCCTTGGAAAAGCGCTCCAAAAGCAATGTAACACTCATCAACCAGAAGGCCAGGAGGAGACTGCTCACCATCATTCCCGGCACCAAGATCATGCAGCATGTCACCATGCAAATCACGACGTCGCCGAAAGCCCTTAGCCGCTGCCTCGCGCCGGATGAACTCAGCATAGGCATTCAGAGATTCCAAGGACTTTCGAGACAGTGGGGGCCCCACAGAGTTTGCAACTGCCTTTTCATAGCTGACCTTGAACTGGTGGTAGAAGTCCTTTCGATCAGTACAAAAGATCCGGATGCACTGACGCCTCGGGTCCAAAAACAAGTCACCAATATCTGCACCGCTCGGCAACATTGAGGACGGCCCTGCCAGTTTGTTCTCCGAGAAATTCCGCCCTCTTCTATCACCAATTTGGCGATCAACAGTGATGTCCTTGTAGTTGTTGAAGACACGAGTCAGCCAGAAAGGCTTCTGAGGCACACGGTGAATCAGTAGCAAGCCCTGAGCATCCCACAACTTTGCCAGCTCAAGTACATCAGCCGATGTGTCTGTTGTGCCTGGCCACGAACCAGTAGTCGGAATCCGGTCTGCGAGAATGAGGTCCGGGCACCGGTAGGCCATGCAGAGGTCGTCATCAAGGAACTCTGTGGCATCAAACTCGCCTCTCCCTGACAACTTCAGCCTGGAAGCATCCAGAGAGCGGTATGGACGGAGTTCAGGAATGACATCTGAATCCAGGGGTACTTGGTGGCCTTGGAAACTGTGCGCATACGGACCACAAGCACCAAGCTTCGTCACCACACTTGAAAGTTCACTCAGGCGTGCAAGTAATTGAGGAAAACGTCGGCCACTCGCTAAAACCTCGATGGGGCCACAGCAAGGGCCGTCCGCAGCCAAAATGCCCTGAATCTTCTTGTAGATACTCCTGTGCGCAGGAGATGGGCATCTCGTCAACAAACTCTCACAGGGGAACGAGCGCATTCCATCATGGAGGAAGTTCAATGCCATCACAATGATATGCAAGGCCCTCTTCAACAAAATCCTCCTCCTTGAACGAAGCGAGAGTCCAGACGGCATCCTGTCAAAAACCCCCGGAAAGGGCACAGGGACAGGGAAGAGCTGCGGGGTCGAAGAAGTAGATCTCCGAGGCAATCTGAGAGAAAAAGCCAAAAATGCTGAGAAAGGAGTTCGCGTCCTCAGAACGTTCGAGGACAATGTAGCACACCAATCCCAAAAAGTAAAGGAACGGGGGACCTTTGAAGCAGCAAAGAGAACATCATCTCCACGCTTGTCAACATGGTCATCACCAGGTGGAGCACGATGGGAAAGTCTCCTCTGAATTCTGATAGGGTCAGGACCTTCAAAAGCCATCTCGGCGGCCGAGCCCTCCATGCACAACTGAGTCGGTATCACTGCTGCTGCCCCCCCTCCGGAGAGGCTTTCGGCCTTCTTGGAAAGCGAGGCTTCCTCTTTGGGGACGGGGGGTTGGATGCTTCTTGCTCCCCCTGACTCTTCTGAGAAGCGGGCTTTCTCGCATCTGGCTTCTTGTTGGAGAGCACCTCCAAGTCCTTCAGATACCCCAGAGTGGTCGCCGTCCAGGCAGGAGGGATGAGCGGAGAGAACGGCCTGCTCGTAGAAGTGACCGCTAGAGTCCTCTCCTGAAACATCGTCACCGGGAGCTCTTCGAGGAGGCTTATGAGGTAGGCGACGGACCAGTCTCCATTGTCGTAGTTTGCCTGTTCCACCGCCATAGCTAAGAGTGCCAGATGCTCGCGACAGCCCACCATGTCGTTGTGGATGGCCGCATCGACAGCATGAGCGGTTATCCACTGCACTAGGCCCAAGCTCCTCTGACTGCGGTAGCCCCCCGACTTCTCCAAATACTCTAATAAAGAAACCGTCTCCAGCTCCTCTTCTGACTTTGGAAGGGGTCTTCCCGGCCGGAGTTTCTTGTGAACCTGCTGCATCAGAAGGAGGAAGAAGTTCCCCGTTCGACCTGCCAGCTCCGCCTGCAGCTTTTCCCTCCTCAACACACCTTTCATTGAAGATGTAGTCGTAGAACTTGACGATAACTCTGCCAGAGGATCCTGCTGGGTCAAATGAGCGACCAGAGCAGTTATAGCTGTGGATTGCTGACTGAGGGCATTCACAATCTGACCTGAGTCTTGGGCATGATCGCCCGTCCCAAGAAGTAGGGCATTCGGCTCTTCGGGAGGAACTGCAACCACTGTCGAGGCCACCTTGTGGATCTGCGTCTTTGGAGGAGGACCCACAACTTGAAGCATCTTCGGGACGGACAAAGGAGGTCCACCCCCTGAAAGCAGGCCGTCTGACAAAGCCGGAAATTTGACTGCTCTGCCAGTTGGCTGTTCTGAGACACCTTTTGCAGAGGGAGACAATGTGCCAGCCTTCTCGAGAGCATCCTGTCGTACGGTCAGGACTTGCATCTGGCTTGTTATCATGTTCAGCTGCTCCATAATGCTGGCGTTTGTAACCCGCTTCACGGCAGGAGCCTTCTTCTGTCCAGCCTTGGCTGCTGGAGGAGCTTTCACTTCCGGGTCTTCTTGAGCCGAATGAAAAGGAGCCCCACCATCATATCTTTCTGTAATCCATGACTGAACAGCTGGGAGCAATGAAGTCAGCTGCGGAATGGCCTGCACTGCTGTCTCATGAAAAGGCTGTATAGGCGAATCAGAGTCGGTCACAGGGTCATATTCTCGACATCGAGCCAAGACCTCATTGCCCACATCAATGACCGTGACAGGTCCGCTAAGCCCCAGAGGGATCGTGCTGCCTTCATCCGTCTCCTCCACAAATGGGACCTCGAACATGGATCCAATGCCAAGCCAACTAGGGAAATCAGCTGGATATTCACCTTCCACCACCATAGCGTCTTCAAAAAGGCCATGGGGCAGACACAAAAGAAAGCCATCAGCTCTTGGAATGAGTGGGACACCATAAGCCTCCAAAGGGGCTCCTGCATGCAAAAAGTCCAGGCCGACCACCAGGAGCGAGAAGTCGGCCTCACTCAAAGCCATCCTCACTTGTGAGACCTGCATTGAAACACGGGAGGTGTATCAATGCCAGCCGCCGCGCAAAACACTTGCACTTCTGTCAAAGAAGGAAAACCTTGATGAACTGGACCACAATCACCGCTTGGCAGGACTGCCAGGAGGCTCCTCAGCTCTGACACTCTTCTCACACGCACCGCTCCGTTAAGAGACGGGGCTCGAAGGATCACCCAAATGGTATCCGACAACGAAGGCAGAGGCTCCACGGGGGTATACTCAGTGTGTGTCGAAACAGCCACCCACGCAGCAAAACCAGCCTTCCAGGCACGATGAACTCTTTCTTGGGGCTGTCCAACCACCGATGAGATTTTGCTTGATGCTGACACAAGCAAAGAGTGAGGGATCGTAGGAACACCCTCCTCGACCCCAGTGATAGACTTTGGCACTGTCCAAGGAACCACAACCGAAGGCTCGACAAGCTCCCAGCCGGCTTGAGAGATGATGGGAACTGTAACCGATGTTGACGATGAGGAAGTAGCTGCAGCCGCTTGTTCAAAAGCAAGGGACAGTCGCTCGACGGCCTGAACTAGACGATCAATGTCCTCACGGGTCACAGGCCTGCTCATCCACGATATTCAGCCAAGCGAGCCCTTCTCACCAGGTGAAGAGGCCGAGCCAACACCTCCGAAACCTCAGGTCCACCTCCAGCAGATGTCGAATTGCTGATCCGGAAGAAATTCAGGGCCGAAAAGGCCAGAAGAACAAATCCAAGGATCGAAAGCAGAAGGCCAAGACAAATGCCAAGGAAGAGCCAGGGCAAGCAGGACGAACTGCAATGGAGGGGACAAGTAAATCTCAAGGAGAGGTCGGAAAGGGTGGCAAAGGACTCAGCGAACTTGACTACCCTATCAATCATGCCTTGAGCACGCAAATGGAAAGACAGATTTAAGCATCCAAATATACTATATACATAGGATGAAGATGTTTTCCGGTATTTTTTCTTGCTTTTTCCGGGAATTCTTTTCACGTTATTTCCCCTACTGCTTTTGCTTTTGCTTCTGCTGGGAGTGCTTTACAAGCTATAGGGACTTCTTTTCGGTTGTCTTTGGGCTTCACTGGTTTCGGGTTTCTTTGGGCTTGGTTTCTTGTCTTTAGGGTTTCTTTAAGCAGAATCCAAAAAAGCAGAAGCAAAAAGCAAAAGCAAAGCAGAAAGCAAAAGCAGAAGCAAAAGCGGATGCAAAAAGCAAAAACAAAAGCAGATGCAAAAAACAAAAGCAAAAGCAGAAGCAAAAGCAAAGGCAGAAGCAAAAAGCAAAAGCAAAAGCAGAAGGAAAAGACATATACAAGAGTGAGATAGAGTGATTATACTGGGAAGACTTAATCAACCGTTCTGAGTGTCTTCAAAACACTGCGATCCCAAAAGATGGGGGTCTTGCCAGTAAAGCATTCTGCTGATGCTGCAAAGCGCTGAACCTGTCTTCCCCAAAAGCAACAGAGGTTCAAAACCATCCTGATGCAAACCCATAAATCAACAGCAACTGCTGCTGCCCCTACAAATTCATTTCGTCTCACCTGCTGCATCCAACACACCAGATTCAATCCCCCGCACCAAAACTCCACATGGCAGTGTTTCACCAGCAAAGACCTCCCCCAAAACCCCCTGGAAAACCTCCGCTCCCCGCCCAAACCCAGCGGTATCGGGGGTCCTCCTCTTCGGAGAGGTCCGAGGGCCTCGCCCGCAACATGTCGTTCTTCAACCTGGCGCGTCAGGACGCCACAGGGCACGTGCTCCGCGCGCGAGGCCCGTTGAGAGTGTGGACGGTCCAGGGTCGCCGTCCACGGTCCACGGTCCATGAGTTGAAAAAGAATCGAAAGAGAAACCAATGCCAATATGCCCATTAGAGACAAAGAGAATGATTACAGCAATAATAATAAGAATTTTATCATGATCCAATAAGATAAAAGCTGGAGTCGAGCCACATCAAGCTTTAGAAGCCGAGAAGCTCTCCGAAAAGCATCTAAAAGCCACATCGCTTTTTGGTCCCACACAGACTTGTTGTTTCTGTCCCTCTCGCTCGTGTCACCAAATGTGACAAAGCTCCTTATTCTCTCATGCCATCACAGTAGGTTCGGGGGTCCCATCACTTCCGTTTAGACTTTGACTTTACTCGACGGTTGCTAAAAATCCTTTCCTGCAGCCGTCCAACACCTCACCACATAGCCCAGACACGCCACCAAAGGATGGTCTCCGCCCCGTTTCTGCTCACACCAACCGGCCAACTGCCCCCACAAACAGGCAAAATTGAAATTGGTGACCGGATAAATACACTACTGCAGGATATACCTTAGCCGTGAAACAAGGCAGTTCTTTGACTGTCATCACTGTTCTTCATTCGCAGAAGCGCTGCGTGTTCTCCGCCTGAGATTGCAGACGACCTTGCGCTCTTCGTAGCTTAAGCCGCAGCAGCAAGCATCCCCGGAGAGATCCGTGGAAGTCGCATCCTCACAAATCGGTTTCGATGGTGGGAGACCTGGATGTGGTGTCGACCTGGGTGCTCCACGATGAGGAGGGTTGAAGAACCTGGTGGACCCGAGTGTGGGAAGGTTTTTCAAGAACCGCAGGAGATCCATGTTTGGATGATGGTGGGATATCATCGCAATAACCCACGAACCCTTGTGCTTTTGAGTCACAGAGTATTAGACTATCCAAGTCGATCTCCACCGTGTGAAGGAGCTGGTAGAAGACTCACCTTGTACCAAGGTGATCACCTTCAAACCCTGTGAGACAGAGCCTCTCTGTCAGACGACTTCCTTCAAAATAAACCCAACGGACGGCCGGACAACGCCGAGGCGCCCGTGCGCCCCCGTTTCGGCCATGTCCAGCCTGTTTTCGGTGGAAAAATTGACACAAAAAGAAACAAACATGGGCAGTTGACTTGAAGTAAACCAAAGTCCCTTCAGATTCACAGACCTACAATCTAATCCTAGAGAATCCGGTTTTCCGCAGCCGGGGGCTTTGAACCTGTCAAGGCAAGAGAACCAAGTGAAATCTCCAAACCCCCTGGCTGGGCATCAATCTTTACATCCGTCTGTTCTCACTCAAACTCTTACAGAAACTCACTGAAGTGGGCCTCTGAGGGCAGCGAGTGCTTTTTCACCGTCTGATGAAGAGAGGCCAAAACCCGTGCAGCCGCTCCGAAGACACTGGCAAGCCTCATTGCTGAGAGGGGACTTTGGAGCTCACAACATGAATTTCAAGCAGTGTGTTTTTGCTGTGCCAAAATATCCTCGTCTTGTGTCCAGAATGTTTTTTCTCAATGAATTGCAATTGAACATTTGATCTAACTGTTGAAAGTTTGGGGCCTGCGTGCACGTTTTCACATCTGTCTCCCATGGGTTTTCACACCAGCAATCTACCACTACCTATACAGATATTGCAGTGATGAGCCCCGTCCACACTCCCCAGGACCGTCTGAGGATCCCAGCACGCCAGCCAAGCACGGCTGCTCGGATGTCTCCATTTCTGCCACCCCTTTGCAGGGTTTGGCCGCTGGCCTTGCATCAACCCACAAACAAGTTTCTGGAAAAGTTAGTTTCCGGAGAAATTGTCAAAATATCTGGGAAACCATTCTTCAACCAAGGTACTCCTTTGCCAAATGTTTGCTGTTGATCGTAACCAGCATCTTTGAGGTTAACGGTTAATTTCCAACTGGTCGAAGCAACAACAAAGTGTCACAGCAACCACACTGGGTTTCTTGGAGAGAGAGAGAGAGAGAGATAGAGACACAAGTGTAGCCAAACAAAACATCCAGTTTTTGCAAATTATTTGACTATTCTTGGAGTGTATTGTAATATATTGGAGGGACAAAAGTCTCTCGCAAGTTGCGTAGGCCGTATTTGTAGATTCCTGTGCAATCCGTTATTTCAATCAATCCAACAAACAAAATGTATCCTGACAATGACCGACTCACCGCGAACCTGTGGCACGAACGGCAGGGAGATTGAGAAGCCAAAATGCAACGCAAAAGATTCCAGCAAAATGAAAACCCAAACGAAATCAGTCCAAAAAGTTTCAGCGCTCCTTGCAGCAACCGACATCAATAAGATTGTCATCCTAACAAGATTCCCAAAATTAAAAACCAATGCCAGTGAAATATGAATTTTTGTCTGGTGATGGTTTCTATGCGGCTTGACAGACAGTTTGACAGAATGGTTTTTCTCCACAACTCTCCCTTTGCAGATGCACGGATTCAGTTGTTCCCATCTGTTGGATACGCATTGTTTTTTCTTGAAAAACCGGTCACACACTTGTATGAAATCACATTGTTCGTGAGAACTGGCTCAAAAAACAGCCGTGATTCCGGACATGTAGAGGTGTAGCAATGACCAACTGACATGTTCAAGCTATTGGCCTTGAACCCTACCCAGCGTGGCAAATGTGTTCATGGTGACAAACCATCCACTTGGCAAAGTTGAATTGAATACTTGGTCACCTTCCCAACTATTCCAATGTAAAGTCTACCATGTGAAAACACATGGACAGCGCAGCGGACCTTTCCGCAGTCCTGCTCTTGAGCCAAAAGCTTGGTTTTTTCCGACCCCAAGTATGTTTTAATTTTTTGAGCGGGACTGCTCTTTGAACACCCACAGTTGTTTTCGAACCTCAAGCTCGCAAACCACCATTGAGTGAGAAACAAAAAGACTCTCATGTTTTTCCCACATCATTGTGTGGGGTTCTTCCATTCCTCGTCCTCGTCCTCGTCCTCCTCCTCGTCCTCCTCCTCGTCCTCCTCCTCTCGTCCTCCTCCTCTCGTCCTCCTCCTCTCGTCCTCCTCCTCTCGTCCCCCTCCTCTCGTCCTCCTCCTCTCGTCCTCCTCCTCTCGTCCTCCTCCTCTCGTCCTCCTCCTCTCGTCCTCCTCCTCTCGTCCTCCTCCTCTCGTCCTCCTCCTTGTCCTCCTCCTTGTCCTCCTCCTCGTCCTCCTCCTCGTCTTCCTCCTCGTCCTCCTCCTCGTCTTCCTCCTCCTCCTCGTCCTCCTCCTCCTGCCTCCTCCTCTCCTTCTCCTCCTCGTCCTCCTCCTCCTCATCCTCCTCCTCTTCCTCCTCCTCCTCGTCCTCCTCCTCCTCGTCCTCCTCCTCGTCCTCCTCCTTGTCCTCCTCCTCGTCCTCCTCCTTGTCCTCCTCCTCGTCCTCCACCTTGTCCTCCTCCTCCTCCTCATCCTCCTCCTCATCCTCCTCCCTCCTCCTCCTCGTCCTCCTCCTCCTCCTCGTCCTCCTCCTCGTCCTCCTCCTCGTCTTCCTCCTCGTCCTCCCCCTCGTCTTCCTCCTCCTCCTCGTCCTCCTCCTCCTGCCTCCTCCTCTCCTTCTCCTCCTCGTCCTCGCCCTCGTCCTCGTCCTCCTCCTCGTCCTCCTTCTCCTCCTCCGCCCCTGCTTCACTCCTCAGCACACCAACTCTCATCACATCTCTCAACTCTCACCACATCATCTTTCGCACAACATCAACTCACCACATCAACTCTTGCCACAGCGCTCACCACACCAACTCACCACATCAATTATTCACAGAACATCAACTCCTCCCTCCTCCTCTCACAACATCGCTTCAACCACATCAACTCTCACCGTATCATCATTCATACAACATCAACTTTCCGTCCTCTTGATCGCTTCTCATGACATCACCAACTCTCATCACATCACCTCTCACCATCATCAATCACCTCTTCCTGAACTCTCACCACAGCCCAACCAAGTCCATCTAAAACACACTTTCTCTGAAGAAGAAGCTGGAAAAGATCCCAACCTGTTTTGGGCAAGTTGCTCTTGCGCGCTCTCTCTTGTTGATTCTTTTGGCAACTTGCACAAGCTGTGCCGAACTCTTCGTGCCAAAATGAACACCAACTGTCTGGAAACTTTCAAACTAGACGACGGTTGGCCCGAGAGCGAGAAAGGTGATTGTCAAGCAATTCCGAGTAAGGAAATAGTTAAAATCGAGTTGTCCAAGAGCCATGACTTCTTTATACAATCTGTTATTGAGTAAGAAGTTGCGAAAAAAATTGGATTTAAAATATTAAGGGAAAAGATATGTAGAAAGAGAGAAAGAGAGGGCGGATGTGAAGGAGTGACAGTGTGGATGTGCAGGTGTGATATAGATGCGCAGATGTGTGGGTGTGTGGAGGTAGAGAGGTGGATCTGCGGATGTGAGCGTGTGAAGATGTAAATGTACAGAGGTGAGGGTGTGTAGACGTAGATGCGCAGATGCAACGGCAGCGCAGCGTTGTGGGTCAGGAGCGCCAACCTTGGTGCATTTCTCGCTGTGCAAGCACAACGCTGAAGAGGTTCGAATCAAACTGATATATAGCACACCAGCGACACGCCGCGTTTACACCAGCGTGTCTCGCGCTCCCCAGTCACACGGCGCCACGCAAACGCACTGTCCACCAAGGCCGCACAAATCCGCATGGCACTGCGACGTCACGGACGTAATTCGCCACTCTGCCCACACACTATCACAGATACCGCCAATTGGCCGCCAATCATCCCGCTCACCAGCGACCGCGGTCCTCAAGGACTGAAAACTCTCATCAGCCGCGCGCAGCATCACGTAGCTCCGTGCCTCGGCAGGAAGGGAACGCAACAGTATGAGCGTTAGGTCCGCCGATTGGATATCGAGGCCGTCCCTTGAATGACTCATTGGCAACGTATCCACCAATTTCTTGTAGCGAGAAATTGAAAGCCCAACGTCTAACCGTATCCGACACCGCTGTAAGCGTCTCGCCACGGAAGCTCTTCTTCGCACGGAAGAATGATGCCTCTGCAGGACTTCTCTGCAGACTGAACTCCTTCCCGAGTATCCGCAATGCCTCGAAGCCAGAGGTGCCTCGATGAATCGAAAACACTCCACACCCACGCCCTCGACGTAGGCTCTCAAAAGCATATCAACTCGCGGATATGCGGCAAATACCTGCTGAAGAATCGCAAGCAGCCGGGCAGATCTCACCTGCGCACCTTTGGACAATGATGCTGTACGCAGTCTGCAGCTCTGTCGGCCATCGAAGTGCCTGCTCGATTTCTAGAGCAAAAACGTCACTACCCAATGCCACCCATGAACGCAATTGTACGATATATTCAGAAAAGCACAAGATCTCATCCTGGCGGCTCACACTCCATTTCTTGAAATCTGGTGTGGGCATAGCAGGTAGCCATTCGTCAGCTCGACTGAAGATATCATTTTCTTCCGACTTGCTCTCGGCGCGCTCCGCCGCCGGTGTTGGTGTAGATGTTGAAGGCCCTTCTGCCGCAGTCCGTGTGGCAACTCTGTGGATCGGCGCCGGTGGTGGCGGAGGAACATTCAAACCAGTCCTAACTGGTACACCTGGTGATCGTGACATTGGTAGTGAAGATGGAAAGGTCGAACGAGGGAACTCCGGTCTCTCACCAAAACCTGAAATGGATACTCCAAACAACCCTTCAGATGACACGCTTTGCGGTGCTGCTCACAGGAGTCCTCGACGCAATCTCAGTGTCTACTCTGGCATTCAGATATTTTACTCTCGCCCTCAAGGCAATGACTTCTCTAGTCAAAGTGTCCGACAACGGGACAGCGGCAGATTGAATCGCAGCACCCATGCTCCAACTGAGCGGTCGTGAAGCCAACACCAGTCTCACCAGTCACACCAGCCTTTCCCCTTCCTGGAGGACCTCGAGCAGCACCTGGAAACGGAGCTGTCGCTCCACCCTGCCGCCTTGGACTCGCAGACGCTATCCTATGCCTCTCAGGTAGACCTGTGGTAGTCGCAGGGCTCCTCTGCCTACTGCGGACGACACAAAGTCATCGATGTGATCGACCTCCTCGCGTCTAGACTTTCTAGACCTGTCTCCTGTGTTCTCCTGTCTTCCTGAACGACTCGCCATGGTCGCAAACACCTCATACTTGACTGCCCTGGATACCAATCAGGTACCTGTCCAAGACTCTGTAGACCACACAGGCCGTGCAACAGACGCACCTTCACCCAAGCTCGGTGTAAGGGCGACCAAGATACCTGTGATAGGGGGCAATCACAAGCTCCGCTACCACGTGAAAGTTTGACACACAAACTCTCGACGAAAAATCGAAGCTCTCGCGCTCAAAACACCTAGTCAGTCAAGTGTCTCAACGACCCGAGTCGAAAAACGAAGAAAAAGCCGGCAAAAGACACACACCTTTTTTGCTGCACTTGAGCCAAAGTAACGTTCGTGACCCACATGCAAGACATTCAGGTGTCCGAAGCTTTACAGACATATTCTCAAAAGGTCACGTGGAGACCTCCAACATGTTGCTCTCCAGCAAAACGCTTCAAAAACAATTCACTCTGTTCACAAAATTCAAAAAGGGTTCTCAAAGGTTCACAAAAGTTCTCCAAACTTTTTTTGCACGAGTGGAGACGCCATGTGTGCGGTGCGCACAGGTCATCTTTTGCTAATATTATGGTTGAAACTCCGCATTCTCAAATAGAAAGGAAACAAGAAAGACACCAGGCCAACA